ATTGCCGTTCTTCCGCTAGGAGGTTCCCATGCAATGACTCTGCCAGCTAGGTTTAATTTTACCAGAAGTCTACTTCATTCCTGAATAGAAAACTTCCATTCCTCAGAGATTAGATCTTACAGCTCCTGGCTTCGCTGACGAGAGTCCAACAATATCCTGTAAATGACTTGAAGCTTCATCAACTAGCTCGTGCAGTATCTCTTTGAATGAAGTGATGTTTCAATTTCTGAATGCCCCCCCTCTCCCCACTGACGACATCGTTCTGTAGAAACCCATTGGCGTGTTATAATGGCATCGCGCTGTTTGCTTCCTCTGTTCGGGACGGATATCGACTCCGTTTATGACTGGCCTATTTATGCTTCTGTGTATACCTTTGGTGGCCGTCGCCGTACTGCTACGCTCCGAGCTGCCAGAAGGCGTGATGAAGGCTCTGATTGCCGATGATTCGCAGTTTGCCGTTGTTCCCCAATAGCCTGCTCTCCCGTGACTCGGGTGACAGCCGAGCCGGTATTACATTTGACAGTTGCGATGCTTTTACGGACAGGGGGCTACGCGTTACGGCAAACCTCACACCAGCCTCAAAAACCCCTCCTTTCCCGTTCTGGCTTTGAGCAGACAACGGCGGACCTGTCAGTTGGATTCTCTTCAGTAATCCATTGATCACTTCAGCCGTGAAGAATGGATATAGCCGTAACGTTTACGTCGATATCCTGAGCCCAGTTTGTTCACATCAAATTCAGTTCATATGATCACCTAATTTTCGCCACTTTTTAAACGTCCATGCTCTATGATTTTCACAGCATTTTTGAATATCGGTAATATAATCATTGTTGCCAGAACGCTCAACGTTTGAAGCAGAAAATCCTGTGCTAGTGGCACTGATATGTAGTTCAGAATCTTTTTCTTTAAAGTTTCAACAGATGAAAGTAAACAGAGAAGAGATCATAGGCTGATTGTTCAAACTGCGTTGTGAGAATGACAGATGGCACCACTTGAGATCATTACTCATGAAATATCCGAGTGCTGAGGGTTTTTCTAGTACTAACGTAAACAAAGTCCAGCGTGATCAGCTACAGTTCAAGCGTGCAAATGGCAGCAAAAAGAAATTGTGTTGGTATAGCTTCTTACAGTCAGATCAATTCGTTGGTACATTACATAACTAACGCCAAAAAACTGTTTATGCCTCTGATTAAGTGTCAATAATCTGAAAGAATGTTCCGATTGGTTCAGACTACGGGGGGAGGAGGTAAGATAAAAGCAAGATTTTGTCGCGCTATTATGAAGACGCTGTTGTTCTCACTTAGTGTATGTCAGAAAGATCTTGACATCTCGAGCAGATAGGCGTGATATAAAAATATACAAGAGAATATATTAAGATTATGTTTACTAAAGGCATCGCAGTGTTTCACGAAGGAATTTAATTAGAAGAAACTCAGGTTCTATGTTAATATATTATTATTATTTTCTCTGGTCGAGGCGGAGCATTTAGTTTATCCTT